CCCGCCTCCTCTTGCATCACTGGCCAGCGACCTAAGAGCAGGTGGGGCCAGTGATGTAAGAGGAGGCGGGGCCCGGGGATGGAAGAGGAGGCGGGGCCTGGGGACGGAAGAGGAGGCGGAGCCCCTGCAACCACTTAGGGCTGACAGGTAAGAGGTGTGCAGCCCATCTGAGACCCTGCAGAGCCCACTACAGAGAGTCTATGGTGGGCTCTGCAGGGTCACTCTCAGGTGGGCTGTTTGGTATATCTTTCGGGCTCTGCAAGGGGCATAACTAGCAATCACGGGGCCCCATACAAAATGTTGCTATGGGGCCCTGTGATTTCTAGTTACGCCCCTGTACGCGCATATACGCAATATACAATTTTGCTCTTGCTTTGTGTGTGCATGAGGCCTTAATGTTTAAGAGGTGGAAAGGAGGGGGCCATGATCTCTGCCTTGGCCAATCAGAGAATGGTATGTATCCATTGAAAAAATACAAGGCGTTCTCTGAATGGCGGCAGTGCGGAGCGCGCAGAGGGGAATCCGTTTGAGCCGCACACGGAAGATGACGGCTATCACTGTATGTAGCGTGGACTAATGAAGTCATTTTCACCTCCACATATCAGATATGGATACCTATAGCGAGCCAAGCTGGCCAATGTAGGTATCCATAAAAGATCGTTGCCGGAGTTCTGCTTTAAACTAAGTAGACAGCACAGACGCGTCCAGGGGAGGCGGGGGGGGGGACGTAGTCACACAAGGTGAGGTGAACAGAACCCGACACCAATTTAAAAACATCAATAAAAAAAATAGAATGAAGAATTTTCTCTCTCTCGACGTACAGAATCAGTGAAAAGCGTCCGCGGTGCGTTATACGCCCGTTGTTGTCTTTTCACTAATAATTCTCTTCTCGCTTCCCAGTACAGTAGCAATTTTCTTCTTCGGATCCTCGAATGTAAAAGTTGGCGCAAAGCATATTAACGCGTAAAATCCTGCGTGTTGTCGCAGGCACATCAACGCACTGAAAGGTGCCGCGGCAGTCTACACGGGGGTTAGTAAACGATTTCGCCGACCACAAATGTGGACAATTCAGAAGATTTGACGTCGAGCTGGAAGTTGTTCCGTTTGCCTGACGCTGATTTTATAACAGGACATGGAAAACGCGGCGTCGAGTCGTAGCACATGGAGGTTTGTTGTAGCGGTCTGCATAGGATTGCCACCTGTCCGGGATTCACCTGGACAGTCCGGGTTTTGAATGCGGTGTCCGGGTTTCATGGCAGCAGAAACCCGGACACAAGATGTCAGGCAGACAGGGGCAACCAAAACTAAGATAGGGGCTACTGACCCCCCACTGAAACTAGTCTTAACTGTGATATTTACATATGAATAAGCCACCACTCAGTCTCCCAAAAAATGTCTGCGTGTCGCTAGAGTGTTCGGGTTTCACCCCCCCTCCTTGCTGGCTGCTCTCTGATTCTCCTCTCCCTCCCCGCAGCTAATATGCTGGAGTCAGCCCGTCTCACCCCGGCGCAATCTTATATACAGGTCAGTCAGTTAGTAGGCGTTAGGTGCTGACAAGGCGCGGATTCACGTGCGTTTGTCTGCCTCACACTGTCAGGGCGAGGAGGTTATTAATATCCCGCTAAGCTCGGAGCTCTGAATAATCAAATCATTATTGTTTTAGCAGAGTTGTGACCTAGCTAGCTGGGGGATGGCGGATAAAGCCGTTCCCTCCCCGAGCATCAGCTCCGCAGGGCGGGATTATCTCCTGATATCGTATCCGTGTCTCATGTACTACTCCCAGGTAAAGGGAACCGGTCATTGCAAAGCAAGAGGGCTGCTGCTGCTCCCAGTCTCTGCTTCTGAAAATGCTGAACCTCTTGGCTCTCCTGGCCTCTGGCTGTCATGCTGAACCTCTTTTTTTCCATGATTTGATCTCTGAATGCAGAGGGGACTTTACACTGGCTTTCCTTTGTCTGTACTTGTTCCGGGTCAGTCCAGGGCCACCATTAGAAATCTAGGGGCCCCGTGCACCCTACCTGAAAGGGTTTCCCCTCCACGACTAATCATCAGCATCGCACTCTTCCTACTCGGCTCACCTCTGCACATCCTGTTCCTATTGAGCTTGGCTCTGTACCCCCTGCATCCCTGCTACTACTCTTCTCTCCTCTGCACCTCCTGCATCCCTGTTCCTACTCTTCTCTCCTCTGCACCTCCTGCATCCCTGTTCCTACTCTTCTCTCCTCTGCACCTCCTGCATCCCTGTTCCTTCTCTTCTCACCTCTGCACACCCTGCATCCCTGTTCCTTCTCTTCTCACCTCTGCACACCCTGCATACCTCTTCCTACAGTACTCGCCTGTGTGCCCCCTTCACCCTCCTTCCTACACTGCTCACCTCCGCACCCCCTGCACTCCTCTTCCTACACTGATAATATATGCACCCCCTGCATTCCTGCTTGTACTCTGCTCACCTTTGCACCCCTTGCATCCCTCTTCCTACAGTGCTCAGCTTTGCACCCCTTGCATTCCTCTTCCTACACTGCTCATTTCTGCACTTCCTGCATTCCTCTTCCTACTGTGCTTACCTTTGTACCTCCTGCATTCCTCTTCCTAAAGTGCTTGCCTCTGTGCCCTGCACCCCCCATCCTACACTGCTCATCTCTGCACCCCCTGTGGCAGGGCTGTCCTTTCTTCCCTAGAGGGAGCCTGTGCCGGGCTCGGGCCCCCCTGCTGACTTGATCGGGCCCGGTACAGGACCCGGTACTGCATGTACCCCCTATCGGTGGCCATGGAGTCAGAGCCTCAGAAAGTGCTGAAGCCAGGTGGTCGGTATAGCAGCCAGGAAAACAGCATTTTACAAATGAAGTCTGCAGTGGAAGCCCTCTTATTTCTATAATGACAGAGAGAAGCAGACCTGCCACAAATGTGGACAATCCACACGTTGGAAAAACACGTATGTAAAGGAAACCGCGTGTCAGATAGATCATAAAATCCAGAGCTATAGGCAGCTTCAATGATATACAAATCTTGACATTTCCTGTAAAAGTCATGCCTGGCCCCGCCTCCTAAGCTTCCCTATAAGTCCTTTAATGTGATGGGCCACCTTTTTTTTTTTTTTAAATACTTTGTTTATTGTCTCAGTACATTGCATACATCAGTGTGTTGTACAGTGGCAGAAAAAGTTATTCCCATATCATTTGTGAGCATTAACATAGTCTACTGGCAACAAAACTAACATTGGTTATATAAGCCGCGTCAATACCACTCCCATCCGATTGAAGACATATATTAATATGAAGGAGTTGGATATGTTGCGTCGCTCCGGTGGGGCCCAACTAGCTGAGTATGTAACTCCTACCCTTACAAGTTGCCCGCACAGGACAGCCCTGACCCTCCGGCCCATGGAGGAGCCAGAGAGAGCTCCGCCTATTTTGACCGTCTAGCACACTGCAATTACAAAATATGTTCAACTAAGTAAGCCAATACGGCATCAAAACAGATCATCATTAAAGCTAATGTGTGGCACACCCCACTCCCCCTCACTAACAACGTGGACAGATCCTTAGCACACATGTGATGGGGAGCTTCTTGAGAGAGCGAGGCATGGCCCACTGTTGTGTGGTTATTCTCGTAACATATCTCACTATCGAGCTGTAAAGTAAAGGAAGGGGGTCAAAGAAAGAACAGGTGGGAAAAAGAGGGGGAAAGAAAGGGAGACAGACATATCACATGCATAAATCGTCCTCCTCACCCATTGACTCGTTATATCACTGAAGCTCCCCCTGTCTCAGCCACGTAGGCAGCGGAATGAGTGAAATGGAGCCAAGGCATCCAGGTAGATTTGAAGCGTTCCTCTTCATTTCGTAAGGAGGCCGTCAGGTCCTCCATACGGTATATGTCGTCCATAATTGCGAGCCAGAGTCGTACTGTGGGGGGGGGTTGGATTGTCTCCATAACAGGGGTATGCAGGATCTGGCCGCATTCAGCATATGTACTGTCAGAGATCTTTTGTACCGTTTAATTTTGGTGGATGTCAAGCGTAGGAGAAACACCCCTGGGTCATCTGGTAGGGGCTCAATCACCAATTGATTAACCATCGTCCTCACCGCGTTCCAGAAGGGGCGTATGTCAGCACAGGCCCAAAAAATATGGAGCATAGAACCCGGTGCCTGATTGCACCTCCAGCAGAGTGCCGGGATAGAGGGATCCATTTTGTGTAAAACATAGGGGACTCTGTACCAACGGGTGAGTACTTTATACCCCTGCTCCTGATATTTGGATGCCATGGATGATCTATGGGCTAGTGACAAGACCGCTGTCTTTTGTTGTTCTGTGAAGGTCCTACCCAACTCAGATTCCCACCGCTCCACAAAAGGGGGGGCAAGACGACCCGGGAGGCGAGCACAACTGTCTGTATAACCAAGATAGGACGTGTCTGGTCGGTGTGCCCATATGACACAAAGCCTCAAAAGGGGTAAGAGCGCGCGCCAGATCCCCCACTCCAGGTACTGAAACTAGAAAATGTCGGAGCTGGTAAGCGCTCCACACCTCAAGAGGAGGGTCACGTAGATTCCGGATGGCATCGAGGGACATCCATTTACCGTCCACAATAAAATCTCGGAGCCGGAATTTGCCCATCGCCAGCAGGCGTTGGAGCGGGCCCTTCCCCATCCCCGGAGGGAAGTCTGGGTCACCCACTACCGGAGTCATGGGAGATGGGTGGGCCACCTTTTTTTGGCCAATAGCAAGGCTGAGAAGTTCCAACTAATCACATGATCACTTTAAAGAGAATTTAAAGGGCCAGCCTATGTCACCTGTTCCCTTTAAATCACTGCCAGACAGTTCGCTCCGCCCACACACTGACATTTCCCTTGCCAGTACTTCCTTCTCAGTCGCCGTTAAGGCCCCATTCCCACTGAGCGATTCGCAAATCGCGCGATTTGCATTTTGCGCGATATCGCGCAAATGCTTGCATTGAAAAGACTAGAATCGCGGCAAAATCTGCTCCAAAAAGGGTCCTGCTGTAGCGACGCATGACCGGCGACAGGGACAGACAGAGCCCCATTTGATGTATTGGAGAGCGATATCGCGCGGTAAATCGCTCAGTGTGAACGGGGCCTTATATTGTTGCCTGGTGTCGAATGCTAAGGGGATCGGTGAGGTCACTCCCTCAGTCATGTGACAGTTTACAGGCTTGGTGATTGCCTGCTAGACCCTAGCACCGTCTCAATGGAGGAGGTCACATGGTCCCCTATGCCCAAATTAATTGGGTATTTTTGCTGGCTGACGCATTGCTAAAGATATCCAGCAAATACTGCAATTGTGCTGAGGTCAAAAAGTCCAATCAATGTGTCTTAATCTGAGGTCCGTGTAGTCCACTGCAGCCTGATTTCACAGATATCCTCACCTCTGCAGATGGTGGGTAACCTCTCCGCGTTTGATGTGTCACCGGTCACATTCAGATTTCCACGTGGGTAGTGAGGACGAGCTCCAATGTTATAACAACGGCACCCAGCACCCAGGACAGTTGCAGGTACAGGCTGGTCTAGGGTTGATGGCAATCTTGCCATTGAAGGGGTTCCCAGATCACCGGATTCTCTGCCGAAGGGTGTGGAAAGGACGGCAATTTCAGGATGCAAAACTGACATACTGAGCAAACAGGTGGTGTTCCATGTATGCATTTCAATTTAAAGTGACTAGATTAAAAAAGAAAGTTAACAAAAGGTCTCCCTGAGAATAAAATAATGAATTCTTACCTGTCCCCTCCCACCCCATCTTTGCTCTCTTGAAGTGCTAAGCTTTCCCACACTTCTGGGTGTGTCGGATGCCTGGCCCCCTTTCTGTGCTCCGTGGTACCTTCCACTACTTAGCTATAAAAGTGTAAAATTCATCAGTGCGGGCAGTGTAACAGGTAAGTGTTAATTGCTTATCTTTTCTAACAGGGACGCTTCAAAGCACATGTTAAAGCATTCCTGTCATTGAAAAGGCAACTCACTTATCCGTGTGTTGCTATGTCACCTCTTCACTTCTCTCCAGCTGCTGCAAGTATTCCACAGACCTGTTGATTTGAATACCTGCCCCCCCCGTCAATGGTCTCTCCCATCAGTTCCTCTGCCCTGTAGTAAAGTATGAGCCAGCAGGAGAGACCACTGTATGCAACGGGGGTAATCGGGTACTCCACACACCCGGATGTGTAGCTTAGAGAAGTAAACAAGCGAAACAACAAGTGGTCCACCCGAAGGGTTCATATATTGCCGCTTCTTACAGGTATGCTTTAACATTCACAGGGACCCTGTCACTTTATATGTTAAAGGGTCAATTTATTCTTTTAATTTTGCACTGGAGTTTATCATTAAAGCGCGCACTCCACCCTCCTATTCCCTCACAGCCAGGGAAGGTGCCATCTTGGTATCTATTTGGATTGTGGTTGCCATGGCGCTGCACATGTGATCAGCTATGACACCAGCCATTTGAGGTTTGGTTGAGAGCTGGCATAAACACACTGACAACCTTGACAGTTGGCATGGTAACTGACAATAAATTGTTGGGTACAGTTTGTTTATTTGTAAAGCAGTTAATGTGACGGTTGCTGCAGCTGAATCCGTTAAAACATGTGCACCAGGAAGATGCACCTGCAGTGAATGTTTGGTGAATGTCGCCTTCACTGCTTTATAAATATATCAGGGTTGGGCACCTCCGGCCCTCCAGTCGTTGTGGAACTACAAGTCCCAGACATCCCAACTCTCCCGGACGCTCTGGGAGTCTCCCGCTATTAGATAGCGGCTCCCGGCCGCCCGGGAGAGAAACACTTAATCCCGGAAAGGTTTATCTGCTCGATCGAGCAGATAAACCTTTCCCTGCGATCGTTTTTTCTTTTCTGACATCGGGAACCGCGGCCCGACCGTCAGTCAGAAAAGAAAAAGGGCATACGAATGCATAGCTAGATTCCTATTGGCTGTTGCACTTTGCAATAGCCAATAGCCAGTGGGCGGGTAATGCACCCGCCCACTGCTGCTGTCAATCAGCAGAGGGGGGCCTGAATTTTTCTATCAGGTCCTCTTCTGGTGATTGAAAGCAGCAGAGGGCGGGTGCAATAGCTAGTTTGCTATTGGCTATTGCAAAGTGCAATAGCCAATAGGAATCTAGCTATGCATTCTTATGCCTTTTTTTTTGTTCTGACGACTGCAACTGGCAGAATACAAAAAAAAAATCAGAAAAAAAACCTGCAGATAGCAAAGAAGCTATTGCTTCCTGTGCTACCTGGCATCATTTCAGGGGGGTGCTCTCTCCCAGCCCACCTAACCCCCATCTGCGGATCGTAGAGGGCACCTCCCTGAAATGAGAAGGACACCTCCCTGAAATGGCTTCTTTTAGGTTGGGATCCCTGAAGTCCCATGAGGCATTGCAAGACTGACAGTTACAGGCATGATTGCCACAGGCTGAGGCATCATGGGAGTTGTAGGTAAAGCAGTTAAAGCCGCTGCTGAATGCCCAATTAGCGCTTGCATCTCATTGGCAGGACTCACTG